TGCAACATAAAAGAACTCTCTCTGGGATCTGCTATTTGTTCAAAGAGGGCCTTTATTTTCCAAAAATGACAAGCAAAGAAGTCTGGTATTTACTTGTGGAGCAGTTGATCTACCTATTGCGGAAAGGCATGATTACTTAAGAAGGAAGAACTGAAGAGCTGTCAACCAGTGGCAAATGCAACACATGCTTTGCTCTCCCCCCCCCCCCCGTGTGTGTATTACAGAACAGCACGGATAGCGAGGCAGTAGGAAGAGCTTTACTAGTTGGTCTGTGAAGTGGTTTCTTTGAAGAAAGAGACTATCCCCAAGGTTGCAATCCTATGCCCACTTACCTAGGAATGTAAATCCTATTGAATGCAATAGGACTTCCTCTCAAGTAGACATCCATGGGATTACATAGTCCATTTCTCTTTGGATTAACCTGCTGGGTTACACAGAAGGCTGCTACAAGTGCAGCCATCCTGCCGGTAATATTTCAGCTTGTCTTCAGTGACTCAAGTGAGAGCACTTGGCCTTCAGTAAGCAAAAGCATAAATACATCTCGGTAGAAGCTAACGGGGAGCAGCAAAAATGTGAAGCCTGTGCTGACAAACATTCCTTCTCCATCATCGGCTTTCGGATGTCTATTTGTTATCTCTGCCGAGGATTAATGGGATGACTCACACAGAACTTGTCTGACAGTGTTCAGCAAGGTTCTGCAACTGCCCATAATTACTTCTGTTGATGCAAACAGGGAGGCAAAGATGCTGTAACCATGTGGGTCAGGGGTGGGGAACTGTTTATGTGGCAGGCCAGTGCTGCATGAGTCTATAAAAAGAATGCGGCTCCTCAGGGACAATATCGCACACCTTCCTACACAGGTTAGGCTGCCTGAGCTGGCTGCTGGAATGCCTGTTGGGTCACCACCAGACCAAAGAAATTTTAGTTGATTGCTTCTATATGATGCACGCCCCTGTAGTGGCAGGACCATCTTAGGAAAAAGACGATCTGGCTGAAGGTCTTTCCAGCCCAGTATGCTGTTCCCAGAAATCCAGACCAGATGCCCCAACAGAAAGCTCCAAAGCATATTGGCACTTGGGCAATTGCATCCCCGAGCGCCTGTTTCTTACTGCACATATTTACTGCTGTAGTTTCAATGACTGTTTAGCTTTGACACTGGTGTCTTGTGTAGCTTTTCTCCTGAAAATAAGATGGCTTGTGCCACTTCTGGGTAACAGGAATTGGCCGCTCCTGTGAAACTACAGGGAGCTGTTGGGAGACAAGTTGGCCATTTGCCCTCCAGTCCGTGACAGCATTTTGAGCAATGCAAGAGTGCCCTTCTGGTTCTTTGTGATGAGCAAGGTTTGATGGGGCCATGAGACTGCAGGAGGGAACAAAAGGGAGGATAAGCTAAAATCTACTCAGCTCCTCCAACTTGAGGCCTGCTGGGGTTTTTGGACTTCCGCTCTCAGGCAGCATAGCCAACCATCAGGAATGACATGAGCCGAGCTCTGAAACATCTTTCTGAAGCATGTGCAGACTGAGAGGGCTGTTCTTGGGTGTTCCTATGGATGTGAGGATTTGCTTGAAAAGGTTATGTGTGGTGTGATTGCAGAAATCACATCTGGGAAGAGAGCAGGGGCCTTTCAGTTGCCCGTCCAGCATCACCATTCGTTTCTTTTCTTTACTGGTCCACAGCCACAGTTCTCTGGGTGGTTTACACAACCCAGCAGGGTGAACAAACACCCCTGATGCCTGGTCATAGCCATCCTCACTGTGGCGAAATGTAGTGTATTTCTATTTAAGCCTATTTAAGTCGTACTAATTATATCTAAATTGGATCTATACACAGAAATTAGCATATGCACATTTTATGCAAAACATTGTCCCCTTTTGTACTTTTTTGGTGACACATTTCCCTCTTTTCTGAGAAGTCACTCTCCCCTCCAGCTATTTTATGCTTCAAAAAGAAGCGTAAAGTCTTGCCATTGTGGAAGCTGGGAGATGAAGGCTCCTTTCTTCTGGCCTCATCAAAGCCACCTAGGCAGTGCAGGGTTTTGTCCACTTATGCAATGCTATGTGCAGAAGACTTTTTCCTGCCCTTTACACTGTGCTGCCTTGAATCTCTGCTAAGGCACTTTTCTGAACCTTGTCCAAAGAAAAACAGGCGCTCAGAATTCCAAGCCATGAGTCTACCTGGATGGGAGAAATGGGTGTCCTGGAAATGTCAGGGCAAGCCAAACGAAACACAGTGTGAACCGCTGCAAGACACGTCAGCCAGCAAAAACTCTCTCCGGTGAAAGAAAGGGTGGTCAAAAAAACCAGCCACTTCCACACGCACATCTACGCTTATTGCCTTCACCTCACTAGAGCCAGGCTGAACTATGGCCCAGTTTGGACAACATGCCAGCCTTACCACAAGTCCTTTAACCTCAGATGAGCTGCTTTGCATTCTGAATATGTCATCCAAACCTCGTCACTGTAAGTTGAGGATTAAAGAACCCTTGTATAACCCAAGGTTTGTAGCATGGTTATGCAAAGCAGTTTAACGGTGGCTGGGTGTGGATGACCCACCAACCCCCACAATCACCCCATGTGTCATCGCTCTTCAGGCTTTAAACAGCCTATGGTGAGCCCAGCGTATGTTAGGTCAAAATCAGGTCAAAATCTGGGCCATCTCCATGGCTCTTGCTTCAGTGCAGACCTAGCCAAGGGGAACAGTAATTCAGAAAGCTGCTATATGAAATTGCTCATTATATAAATGATATAAGAATGATTTGTTCATTTGCAGATGTAGTTATACATGCATTGTCTGCAATCCTGTGTATGGCTTAGCATCTTCATTCCCACTGAGGTCGATGATTTTTATAGCTGTTATTGGACTTCAAACAGCCTTAACTATGTGCAAGATTTTAGGTCCGTTTTATTTTTCTCTTCATTACAATTGACCGGGCAAGAAGGTTATGTCTCCCCGCAAGATACAAGACATGCTATGCTCTGTGACCACATCAACCACTGGCAGATTTGCACTAGTCTCTGTCTCCGTCTCCAGCAAAAGCACTCGACCTTATAACTGCAGGGCACTGTCAGAAATCATCACATCAGAGCAACCTTTCAGAAACTGATATTGGCACTTGTTCAAATTTACACAGAGGAGTGGCACCCTTCTTTATAATTTCTAACATTGTAGTTAATTTGCAGGAAGAGTAATCTAGAGCTCAGCAAATCCGGACCCAATGCCTGTATTCAGTGCAGGAAAAACAACAACACAGTGCACAGAGATGCTACAACGTACATAGTGAACACAAAAGCCCCCTTAGGGCACATGCTCACACAGGAAAAAGTCGTATCTCCCAAACACTTCTTAGCCAGCATGGCTGGTTGGGGAATCCTGGAAGCTGTAGGACTTTTTCCTGTCTAAACATGCATAGGATTCCAGCTTAAGTTTTTGCGGACACCCTGCACTTCATCAAATACACGGAGTGTTAGCCTTAGTTTGGCAGATAGATGGGACATATACATGTGGTGGGACATCAAGAGTGTTAACACTTCTTCGATAAACAAAGCATATATTTGACTTTGGATGTGATTACAGCGCCAAGGATTGTATTTGCACAATGATGGAGGAATGAAGAGTTACCATGAAGAACTGATTTTAAAAAAGATACTGGACTGTGCGGAAATGGACAGACTGACTCTATCTCTTAAGGAAAAAGAAGATACATACTACTATCAAACCTGGGACTTTTTATCATTGCTTAGAGGAATGGAATTACATTTAGGGCTGAAATAAATAGTAATTGTAAAGAGAATAAGATTACAACCCAGTATGCCTGATGTCTTTGGAATAATCATTGTTTTAATTGGTAGAAAATAATAAAAAACTTGAAAACCAAAGAGTGCTAACACTTCAAGAATCTGATGGAGTGAGCAGTGCACACAAAAGTGGCCGTCATAACAATACGTGTTAGGCTTTGCTGAAACAGAGGGAAATGGTTTGGCATCCTGGTCCCTGCTGGCAAACCTGTCTGAGGACACAAGATGTGGTACAGCAGTGCCCACTGGTCCTGGCTGCCAGCACCAAGAGTCAGACCAACCCAACCTCCTCAGCTCCTGAGCGTGTTCTACTCCACTGAGATCTTTGGTGTTGAGCTTCTCTGGAGTCTGAAGGTTGCACACAACTGGCTGCATGCAACCTGGCTGTGGAAACAACACACCTTTTGTTGGCGCACCTTTTGCGAGCCTTCCTGCTTTCACCCCCAAAGACACCATCTGATGTTTGGTGAAAAAAGGTTGGTCAGATCTTGAGCATACAATAATAGGTGTTTTAAAGAGGCAAATCCATTTCAGTGCACGAAGCAACAAGCAGTTTAAAGCAGTAAACCAGTGGCAAAGAAGAGGCAAAGAGGAAAACAGTTTAGTTAGCACAGCCTGAACTTCAGCTGCCTACCTGGTTCCTTGGGTCATTTTGGGAAGTTCCTCACTTTCCCCATAACCACGTTACCACGGACATGAGCTGACCGTGTTGAATTTCCCACTGAGTGTAGAAGCCACTGGTTCTCAATTTGATTCCAAGAGAATTGGAGAAAATATTGTCATATTACATCTGACATTTTTTTAGTGTACTGGATGCTATGGGGCAGTGGGGTGGGAGAGGTCACACATGTCCAGTTTTAGCTTCTGTGTTTGTGGCTTGTAGGAGACCTGAAGCTGCAAAGAAATAGTAGTTTCCACTTGAAGCACAGCAGCTAATTTCAATTTGTTTGACTAAACCCAGAAAAAGAAGTATCCACAGTGCTGATCCCTGATTACACAAAGGGGTGCATGTGGATGTCCTCCCACAACCAAAAAAAACAAAAAGTAGGAGTATTATAGACGGTGAAGAACCAAGATAGAGATGTTTCTCATATCATTTGCCCTAATGGAATACTGGAAAAGAATCATTTTTATATCCTGACATGATCGGTACTTGAGCCAGGATCAATCAAGCAAAAAAAGCTTTTATTAAATCTCTCGCTAACCTTCCATCGGGGTGTTATTGTCTGGTCGATTTGCAAAGACGACGTCCACATACTCAAGCTGCAGCCTCTGGAGAGAGGCTTTCAATCCTAGAAGGAAAATAAGAGAACATTAGAAAGAGCTGAAGTGAGGTGTGAAGCACATGACAGGGAATTTGAATGGCCCAGAAATATCACTGCCCTAAATAAACCATCTTTAAATGTACAACAGGGAGCGATGATGTTATACTGTCTATTAAGAAGAAGGAAGCAAGGATAGATGCAGAATTTGTGGCCCTCCACAAGAATGTTTTTGGTTTGGTGATACTGAAATGTGGATTGACTAGACAAGCATTTATTGACTGTATCCTCCTGTGCCTGTCAAAACATAGTCACAGGGGACAGAGTTCAGAGCACGGATTTTGTTCTGGAGTGCATTTTAGCAAAATAATGTCAGAGGGATTGCAGGGAGGCGACTTGCTGCTCCCTATAGTTTTCTGCATTTGTATCATTCCACATATGAAGCCCTGCCACACTGGAAGCCTCTAGAATGGAAACCAAGGAAAGGCAAATCCATGCTCGTCTGTTATGTATTTATGATTATTTATTTATTTATATTTATTAAAAGCTTTTGTATGCTGTCCTATTATACAAGATCTCAGGATGGCTTACAGTATTTAACACTTTCAATACATAATAAAACAGAACAAAACAATAAATCACAAAACAAACAGAGCGACTAAACTTAAAAGCTGTTAAATTTTAAAATACTGTTTAAATAAAAAGGTTTGGGCCTGAAAAGAGTATAAACTTGGCGCCAGGCGTACCTCTCTGGAAAGTACATTCCAGAGTCTGGGCGCCACAGCAAAGAAGGTCTTACTCTGAGTTGATTACTTTTTTACTTCTCTTAGGAGGTTTCCTGGAGCAGGGCTTCTCCCATAGATCTTAAGGGGTGTGAGGGCATGTAGGGAAGGAGACATTCCTTCAGGTATCCCGGTCCCAAGCCGTTCAGGGCTTTATAGGTCAAAACCAGCACCGTGAATTGGGCCTGGACTTCAACTGGAAGCCAGTGGAGCTGGTAGAGAACCAGCGTTATGTGAGAGTAATGGCCGGTCCCCGTCAGCAACCTGGCAGCTCTGTTCTGCACCATCTGAAGTATCCGGACCATTTTCAAGGGCAGCCCCACATAGAGCGCGTTGCAGTGATCCAAGCAGGAAGTTACCAGAGCATGTATCACTGTTGCTAGGGAGTGCTCACCCAGCTAAGGACGCAGCTGATGGATCAGTCGAAGTTGTAGGAAAGCGCTCCTTGCCACCTCCACCACCTGGAACTCCAGTGACGGCTCTGGGTCAAGGAGTCCTCCCAAGCTGTGGACCCTGTCCTTTAGAGGGAGTGCTATCCCACCCAGAACTGAAATTCTGTACTTCCTATTGTGCAATTTATAGATTATGTAGCTATATATGGTATAGTAGAATAAAACAACTATATTAGAGTGGATTTGCACTTCGTTTCAGGATGAAAAATAAAATATTGCATTTTTTCCACTCCAAACAAATCTACTGTGAAAGTTTTCTTAAAATCCTCAAATTAAGCTGGAGGCTGATTATGTCATCTAAAACATCCATAATCAACCATGAGTGAAAAATAGAGATACTTTTTATCTTAACCATTGTAATGTATTGAGGTACATTTTCGCTCCAAAAAACTGAATGGAGAATAAGATTTCAGCGTGTGTACAGAGTTTTCTTTCTGATTTGTTTGTTTATTTCTCAAACAAAATTACCTTAATTTTCAACATTAATTTTCTCATTTTCTTTCTTTCCAGACAGAGGTTACATCATTTCATGGACTGAAATTATAGACAGTCTAAAAAGCTGGAGACAAAAAATGCCTCAAGGAATTGATTGTTTTTGTCCTTCTTTCATTGCTACCACTCTATTTCCTGGTAGATTGTGAGTTACCAAAAGAAAGAGACTGTGATTCAGAAGCAGAGTAAATGCGAAATCTTTACTTCAACACATGGCACCTTTTGTTCATATGATCTCAGGTGGCAGGTGCTGGGGAAGAGTTCTGCTTGAAATCTTGGAGGGTTGCAAAAAGTCAGAGTATACAATATTGTGCATTCTAGGATGGAGAGGGTTGAAAACCAAAAGGGGTGTGCGTTAAATAAAAATATCTGAAGATTTTTACTTAAAGTGCTTACCACTGGCAACTGAAAGTCAAATGACACATTTGAGTAACAGCACAGAGGAGAGTTATGCACAGTAATGATCTTTACCTTTGTGTAAGCATGCACAGGCCCAGACCCAGTTCAGAGGGGATCCTTGGTGCGCTGTGGTGCTAAACATCCCCATGCATTTTTTCCTGAAAATTCCCCCTCCATACAGGGAGTATAAAAGAAGGAAATAAAATCTCTCTTGACTCCAACTGATACGATTTTTCTTCTTGGAATTCTCCCTGCTCCTGCTGGGAATATCAAGGAAAAGGCCTAGGAGGTGGTCCAGCACACACAACCGGTAGAGCTGCCCCTTTCCAGCATGCAGCCTCTTAGCAGGAGGAATGCCACGGGTTGCTAGAGATGTGTGAGCACTCTGCCTTGAGGTTCCCTGAGCTCAGATCCCTGGACTCTGGCCTGCTTTCATAGGGCCATGAGTCTGACTCCCAGGACAGCACACTGAGCGTCTGCACGGGTGCTTCAGGGAAGCAAGTCCACATGACTGCTGTGAAAGAGCGTCCCTCTTCCATGCGGGTGACTTGCAGCTTTTGCGCTGAACGTGCTGCAGAAGAAGGTTGCTGGTTGTGCAACTGGATTTCTGCAAGGGTTTGCAGATTTCCTCTCTGCTTGCCTTGCTTCTTAAGTGAGGACTAAGCACAAGAAGAATTACAAGGCAGAAACATAGAAACAGAGTGAGTCAGAAGGGGTCTCTCAGGCCATCTAGTCTGACCCCCAGCTCCAGTGGCTCCACTCACGACATGCCCACCATGTGCATGTCCAGCCTATCCTTGAACACCCTCACCAGTGGGGCCTCAATCACCTCCCATGGAAGCCGATTCCATACCCTTGGGGTCCTGACTGTCAGGAAGTAAGATGAGGGCCAGGTTCTGGGAAAGACTGTCCCAACCCTACTTGATTGCCTATTTGCTAGTAGCTCAGGTTTAAGGTTCTAGTCCCAATTTGTTCAGGGAATGCACAGCCCTAAAAAAATTGGGACCAGGAAACCAGAGAGAGTGCCATCTCCTTTATCAACCTGCCTAGTCAGAAGCCATCAGAGGACATTCCCCCGATGGTTCCACATGTCGAGCTGGAGTCCACCAGGAGAAAAGCCTTCAGTGTGGTGGCCCCATTGCTTTAGAGCAGGGGTCTCAAACTCAACTTACCTGGGGGCCGCTGGAAGTAGGGTCTGGGTGAGGCTGGGCCGCATCAAGCGGTGGTGGTGGGCCGCTCATCCGGAGGCCGGCCCAGGCGCCACCGGCGCTTTGAAGGCCGCAGGGCCCCTCCCCCGTGCCCCACCCATCCCGGCAATTGGCCCGCGGGCCGCGAGTTTGAGACCCCTGCTTTAGAGTTTTCTGCATCTGGAGGCTGGGCAGGCACCAACTCTGTACTGCTTGCTGTACCTTCTGAGGACATCTATGTTCCATGAAATCTTTCTTCCTTACCAACCACAGTTTAATGTTACCTTGTTTCTAACATTTTATTTGTATTCTTTTATATGTTTTAGTTTATGATTGTTCTTGGCTCCTGGAATCCGCTTAGATGTGGAACAGCATACAAATGATGTCAAGGGATGAATGAATGAATGAATGAATGAAGAAATAACTGATTGATTATGGGTGTTTCCAGGCAAGGCTTTGATCATGCTCTTGCCTTACCTCATTTACAGAATGTCATGGGAAGTCCAGGCATGACACTTCCATTCACACCCCTCCCACGTCTTCCCACTGCTTCTTCCATCGTTGTTCTTAATGCCAACATTTCATTAAGGAGGAACAGGCATAATCACTGCCCGGTGCTTTCTAATGAGCAGGGCCAGGAGGCCTTCATCAGGAAGCACCCTATGATCATGGAGTTATTCCAGGTTTGAACTGAATAAATGTAAAGAAGTTTAAACAGTACAGAGGATTATAATATTCTCAGTTTTATTACTACATACCTTCAATAATGTGTTTTCTTGAAAGTCCTCTTTCTGTTTCAGCTCTGCCAAAAAAGGGAAAAAAAGCTGTACCTATATTTTTGTAATTTATATTATGATTTGCAAGTGGGATGTCTCAACCATGGTTGTTTCATAAAACATTTGACTAATGAACAATCAATTTAAATATTTAAAGCAGAGAAACAGATATAGTCAACACATATCCAAAGCCAGTACCGCTTGCTACATCAATATACTTATTTCTTGTTTAGAATATACCTTGTTTTGGCTTCAGCAATTACTTGCTCCTACAAAATAAATGGTTAGCTAAGGCTTAATGATCCAGCTTTTAGAATTCATAGCTAGCCAGCTGCACCAACCAGCAGAGTAAAGGACCGCAGTGGATGGGCATGGTTGTAATGCCTCTCGGTATTGATAGTCTAAAACCCTCTTGCTCAGAGCAGACTGTCTAAAACTGCATTGCTGTATGTCTTAGAATAGTGCCTTAAATGACTTAGATGCCTTCAAATCTCAAATAATAAAGTTTCCCATTTGTGGGGAGCATACAGCAAAGAGCCTCTTCTAGAAATAACAACCAAGTAAATAGCAACAACAATAACCAAGAAACCATTTTATAGATAGGCTTACATGAATTCAGGATGTGTGTACACATGTGTGAAACCAACAGCCACCAACCCAATCAGATATGTTGATCAAAAAGATATGTTTGATCTTTGTGTGTGTGTGTGCATGCATGCGTGTTTTAATAGACTGCAAAACACGCACACCCACACACAAATCAACATATCTTTTTGAATGATGTTTTGTTTGGCTATGACAAATCATAGGCAGCTTAGCCTGGGGATTGTGGATTTATAGCACTTTAAAAATGGGCCTGCTCTTGTTTCAGAGTGATTTTTTAATCACTTTATTAAAATAGTAATGTTGACCTGAGCTTATGGTCTTGGACAGTTTCAAAAGGTGGGGTGTAAAAATCTTGAATAAAGACTAGCACACATTATCAATAAATCATGGCGATGAACTTTGGTTCAGCTGTTGGGGCAGGAGAGTGAGCCAAGGATGGGACTGAATCAAGTCTCCTTCTCCTGATTTTTTTAAAGACTTCCTGCACACAGTCCTGGCTACTGATTTGGGCTGAGAAGCCCCATAGGCAGGCTTGCTTTGTTTTGCTCTGCAAATCTCCAGCCGCAGGTGGAACTTCAGAGAGCTGCTATCTAGCTCAGGGGTGCAGTCCACACAAGGAAGATTTTGGAGAAGTTCCTGGGTGGACACTTTCCATGGAAGGGCAGAGCTGGAGGCAAAGTGAGTAGGCAGGCCAAAGGCAAAAGAGGTGAGACCAACATGCCCAAATAACAGCATGGTGTCATTTCAAGCAGACACTTGCCAGAAACTAAGCTTCCTCCCGCCCCATATATGGCATTTACTGTGTGCTCACGATTCTGTATGCACTCTTTATTTATTTAATTTCTACGCCACCCAGCGGCCAAAGCTCTCTTTAGATGGCATCATGATCTTCCACAGTCACTTCTTCAGAGTACTCACCCGCCACCCTTTTATTTTTTGAAAAGGAAGAATGAGCTATTACTTTACAGCAGGAAATGTTACTCTATCTCCTGGTGCATTTGCCCTATATCACTGTATTATAGTTCCACCTAGAGGTTGTGAACCAGAAAACCAGGAATGGAAAAGCTCTTTGTGCAAAGCTTGGAAGACAATCCAAAGTAGGTGTAACTACTACTGGCGCAACAAATGCATTTTGTAGGAAAGCCCTAAGTCTTAGGAGAGGCATTTCAACCTTACAATGGGGAACAGTTGGACAGAAACTCAGAAACCACCAAAAATAGGTGGTGGGGGAAAGGGAGTATGACCATTTGGGGAACCCAAACCCATTGTGATTCTTGGCCCAAGATCACCAAACCCTGTCCTAGGCAGCCGGCCATATAATTTAACCTTTCATCCATCTCTGTGTGCTTAAGATGTGCTGGAGTGCAAGTTGCATCAGCCCCAGTGGCCATGATCAATGAGTGAGGGGACTGGAGCCTGGAACATCTGGAGGGCACCATGCTGGGGAAGCCCCATAGCCCCCTCTGTGCCCCATAGCCCCCTTGAGGCTGCAATTCTCTACCCAGCTGCCTGGGAGAAGGAGCACTGCACTATAATTCCATTTACACCGGCACTGTCCCCGCCCCGCCCCGCCACAAAAGGGCAAATGTTACATGCACAGCATTTCTTCTCCTACATGTCTACTCCCAGTGGCTCTGACTTAGTGATGACTAAATTCTGTTGGGCTGAGGAATTAAATAATGAGGGGTTGCTGAACTCCTGCCTCATTTTCAAAATCTATGGAAAGTTAAATTGGAGCCAAGGCTGCAGGTTGGAATACAGCCTGACAACCAACTTTACAGGAGGATTTCAAAGATGTTTCACAAGTTACCAGAGTTCAAAGCTATATTTTAAGTTGCTTCATCAGAAGAAAAACCTTTAAGCTAATTAGCTACATTCCTACATATCAAAGAGATCACTGCCTTCTCTACAGAGTCAGGAGGTGGTGTAAATGGAACTGGAGCAGGAAAGGGCAGTGAAGAATACGTTTTTTCAGGAGGGCATCTAGTTCCCTAAAAGTCCATTCAAAACATGTAGCGTATCCAAGGGTCTCATTAGCATGCACTTCAGAGGAGCTTCCTTTTGCTTGCACTCATTTTCTCACCCAGCATGAATGCAGCAGCATAAAGAGGAGCAGTCTTGTTTGTGGACTGCACTGCACTGCAAGCAAAAATATAATTTGGGCAATTTTGCTTTCCCAGATGCCTACAAGCTATGAATACCAGAGGAAAGGAGTGGCCATGTGATTTTGTTTCCCTTTTGCCTAGCGAGCCTACATCAAATGCTCCCTCCTCTTTCCCCCATTTGTCTGTAACTCTTACTGACAAGCTCCTCTCCTCTTGCCTCCTCTTCTGATGCTGTTGCCCTGTGTGGAAGCAAGGGAGGGAAGAGAATGTGACGCAGCCCACCCAGTTTCCCTCTTCTAGGACTCTAGAGCTGCTCAAAGGAAAACAGACAGGGGTAACTTGCCTAGACCCCTGCACAGCGCCTGCTGCCACCTTCACTTCCTTTGCCTATTGTGCATGCGGTAATTTTTGCATGTGGTCTCCCAACTTTGCACACTCCTGCATGGCTCCTTGCGTGGGGCAGCAGGTGGGTCCCCACATAACATCTTCAGGAGGCCATGTAAACCTGGAGCCTGGAAGTCCCCACCTGTGTGCATTTCGCGGTGGTGATGAAGATCTGCAGAGGAGAGGGAAGGAGGCTGGGAGCTGGTCACTGTTCAGATATAGGATGAGCTGTGGTCCCCTTGCCCCTTTCCTCTTTTCCAAGGCTGATTTCCAGCCTCAGGGAGACAGCCAGTGTGTTTTTCCTGTGCCACGCGTGTGGGGGCAGAGGACTGCTTGGCATTTGGAGTCTAGCCCCAGGACCTTGGAGTTAAGGCTTTGAACAAGTCTCTCCCCCTGCCAGACAGAGTCTTACTCTAACTGATGTAAAAAGCAGCTTGAGCCCAATACCCATTTACTAAAGAGCAATGGGAAGATACATATTAGATTGCACATAGTATCTGAAGTGAGAAATCCAGAACATTATAATGTACTAACTTGTCTTGTGCAGCATGCTAGAGGTATCTGAGACTTCTGAACTTCTTTCTATAACTTCGTCTCTTCCACCCTTCTTCTGTTTCTTCTCTAGTGTGTGTTTTCAACTGCAAGCTCGCTGGGACTTGTTTACTGGGACTCAGGCAATCTGGGCTCCAGTCCCCACTCAGCCATGGAGCCACCTGGGTGACTTTGGGCCAGCCACAGACTCCCAGCCCAGCCTATCCCACGGGGTTGTTGTTGTGGGGATGATACCGAGAGCAGCAGGAAGAGAATGATGTAAGCTGCTCTGAGTGTGTAACTATAAACTAGCTAACTAAAGTGGCTTGGCCGTGGGTGCCCACTGATGGCGTCTGGGAGTGCAGGGCTGCTGCAGTGGGGCAGGGGAGGTCAAGGGAAGGGGCTTTGTGGTTCACCACAGAATTGGGCAGCCAGAAGGTCGAAGAAGGCAGTGACAGGCCAGTTCTGGGCATGGTGTGGAGCCATGACTCTCTGTACGCTTCTGCCATGCTGTCCAGTTCTTCAAAAGAAAAAAGTTGGGGTCAAAATATAATAAATAGATAATAAAAAGGGGGAAAGAAAAGGCTGCCTAGATAAATTGTGCTGTGCAAGATGTAGAGCCGTGGAAACTGCAGCCAACACGCTGGACTCATGCAGGTTACGAGGCTTATGATCACTGGATGGAGAGGGCAGGGGACTGCGCCCTTAGGCCACTGTGTCATAAGGGTGTGCACTGGCTGTGTTTGTGATTTCAGTGCTCAGGAGAAGTACCACGTTGCACTACATTTGCCAAGATTTTTGGTCCTCTAGGCATAAGAGTTGGGATAGGGTTTGGAATGGAAGCTGCTCTGAAATTGCACATTTAATTGTGTTTCAGTCTTCAAGTCAGATACTGCTACCGTGAATTTTATTCTTCCCTTTGAAAATAGCTAGAGAGATTTAGCAAGACTTTGACTGTGAAACTTGCAAGTGTGTTGTGAAAATGTGTGTTAAATTCCATCTGGAAATTTCAATATTCAGAGAAGGTATCCTATTTCAAACAAGCAATTGGAATGGGAATGAGTTCAAGAAGGCCTTACCTAGCTTGGACAAAAATTAAAGTGCTTCCCAGCAACATTTGAATCATGCAATTGCCCTGTCTCATTCATATCTTAGCTCACTCTCCTCCCACCACATCTTCCAACTTTGATCATTTCATAAAAAAGGAGTATAGGAAGTAGGAAACTAGTGGCTTGATATCACTTACATGATATTGCCAGAAGCTGTCTGGAAGCACCTTAAGATCAGCAAACCTTGGGATGGGCATTATGATGGAAATACGAAATTGCCTGCCCAGTTTCCTTCATAATGCTAATGGAGCTTAGCTCACTCTCCTCCCACCACATCTTCCAACTTTGATCATTTCATAAAAAAGGAGTATAGGAAGTAGGAAACTAGTGGCTTGATATCACTTACATGATATTGCCAGAAGCTGTCTGGAAGCACCTTAAGATCAGCAAACCTTGGGATGGGCATTATGATGGAAATACGAAATTGCCTGCCCAGTTTCCTTCATAATGCTAATGGAGTAGTGAGAGTATTTGCAGAGAAGCATCCACTGGGAGGAAAGACTTGGGTGTAAAGTTTCCCACTGACCCATTTCCCCCTGCAAAATTATTGTCTCTCGGTGCTGGAACTAAGCCTGAGTTAATGTGCTACCTTTCATGTGTGAAGCCAAGGGCAAGTGTCCCTGTGGAAAGAAAGAACTGGGGGACATAAGAGGGAAGCAGTGTCCCCATACAAGCCCCAAGTTCACATTTCTTATGTAATTTAAGAACTGCTCAGAGAAGTTCAGCTGTTGGGCAGTATAGGAAATAAACAAGCACACACAAACATATAAAATTAGGAAGGGGTAGTAGAGAATGGCTCAGCAAGAAAATGTCCAGCTCTGTGCTCAGGTTTTAAAATGGAAAGCTTTCCTTTTCATCTTTAGAAGAAGAGAAATTATTTTTGTGCTTTACCAGCGTACACATTTATGCACATATAAAAAATATATAGATTTCTTTCTACAACACAGTGGTTAAAAATTAACTTACTTTCCTCCCCAGTAGAGCTTTGTTGTAATCACCAGACTCGACCTCCTGAACAAAGAAAATGCATTAAGATTTTAAAATTGTTTCAAAACAGATTGTGGAATAAGCACCATGTTCAGTGACTGCACCTTTCCTAATGTGACCGTTCTTTAAATTGATCCATATAGCAGGCCAAACCCTTCTGCATCTTAAAGAAGAAAGGCTAGTCAAAACTGCAGGCACAACCTGTTGGCCCAGACATATACTGCATCTGGCATTTCTGCTGCAATTTTCCTCTAAAAGCAGCCACAGTGGCGGTGCTGGTGGTAAGTTGGTCCTGTGCTGGCAACAGTCTTTCTAGGGACGTAGTTTTTGTAGGCGCTCGTGTGCGTTTTACTTCCATTCTTGTTCAGTTGATTATTGTACTATTTTTTTTACAAAAAAAAATAAAGAAAGAAAATCCACCCACTGGAATGATCTGCAGGCTTTAGAAGTAGAGGGCACTATCAATGTGGACAGTGACATTTGAAGTTTTCATTGGAATATATTCAACGTTAAGTTGCAAACAAATGAACCACAGGCAAGATTTCTAAAAGGCATTTTAGGGCATTTGGTTTCAGTTACATGTTTTGCTTCATAATGACTGGAGATATTGTCTCAAAACATGATCACAGGTTGCCTGAAAGAGGAAAGAAGGGCCCCATCCTGCACCTGAACAGCATCACTGATGCTCAAGCCAACATTCTGTCCTTCCTGGTTCCATTCCATTCCTGCTCCTGTCTACTGAACTCTGTGAGAATCACATTCAAGGAAACATGTTCAGGAATTGGGGTATGACCATTGACTTTGGTGGAGAGATTCTAAGCACTGGGTTAACCCTCTGCCACTGGAATAAAAGGAACGGAAATGTGTTTAGCAACCACATTCCAAGAGCCAGCATACATGTTCCCAGGGGATCTTTGCAAAACAGCACTGCATGCAAGTGTAAGTCCTTAATCACCTGAGGTTGGGAGGTCAACAGGCAGAAGCAAAGAGTTGTTTTGCTCGCTTCCCTTGAGCGTGGGACCTGAGGGCATGCATTGTGGCTATCCTCTTTCTCAATCTTCTCAAGCAGAGATGGGGAAGAGCCCCTCACCACTAAAAGGGTCATTTGAGGAGGAGGGCAAGGCCAGCAGATGTGACTCCCCTGAATCACTTTCCTCCCAAAGGCTTCTTTTCAATGCCAAGGAAACAACCCTGCTTGCCTTCCTCCAACCCCAATTCCCATCCTGCTCTTTTTGGCAACCACGAAGCTTGTGATTTTCTCCTGTGGACAATTCTCATGGAATGTGTCCACCTCATCTCCACATTGCAGTGGAGTTCCATTTCGCTCATCAATCATTCGAACAGACCAGGCTCAGCATCAAGAAACAGAGTCCTGGAAAGAAGAATGGGATCCTACTGAGAAGGAGCCTCCTCAGCACCTTCCTTGCTTTATTTTGGCCTGTGACGCTCCAGGCTGTCGCTAAGTACAGAGTTCTTGTTGGTGGGAGAGTTCAAGGGACTAGGAAAAGCCGTGCCATGGCCAGCTGCCGCACAGGGCGATGCCCCAAGTGATTGCATCTCCGCCTCCCATCCAGGCAATGCAGTAAGCTCTGGAGCAAAGGTTCAGTGGCCCCCAGCTGCCCTGCTCAGGCCAGACTCTTCCACAGAGCACCAGCAAAGAACAACTGGAAACTGCAGTGCTAGCCTGGATTTGAAGGGGCTCTGCAAAGCCTGCGCGAGCAAAAGCTGGCGGCTGGGGCTCCTCTACAGGATGAGTTACCTTGCTGCTGTACAGAAGCTTTTTCCATTTTCACTGTGGAAGAAACGCGTGTCCTTTGCATGGGGCTTTTTCCCTGGGGTTTCTATCACCCTGCTTGTCCATATGGGCTATTATTCAGTCACAAGGCAGCACTGTGGAATGGTGGATTATTCATCTTTTCATGAGGCTTTTGTTCTGTTTTGTCATGATTTACAATTTAATACCAGATCTTTCTGGCTTTAAACCCTCCTACAAAATGTCTGGAAAAATTGGGAGAGGGCTTGGAGGGCAATGGCAATGGCACCATGAAAAAGCCCCTCAAATTTCCACGGGTGAGGAATCATGAGTACACAATCAATGCCTCGTGCAGAGCAACCCCCAGAGTTTGCTCGGAAAGCCTGAATTCTATCACCCTGGTTCCACTGTTAAGCTGAAACACTCGCCTAGAATTGAATGTCTAGATTGTTACATTACCTCCAGCCTTTCTTTTTTATGATGTTTCCCAAAATCATCTCGGCCCTGTAGGGAAAATTAAAAAAAAAAAAAACAACAGCATTATTTAGAATGAGTGTTTCTGAAAACAAATCTTTGTCCCCACTGAGAATGATGCTTACAGTTACTGGCATCTATTCCAGACATTTGTTCATGCAAAGTATCAGTTTTAAGGGCACAATTCTATGTGTGTTTGGACAGAAAAATGTCCTATAACTCCCAGCATGGCTGGCAAGGAAATGTTGGGAGTTGTAGGGATTTTTTCTGTTTAAACATGTATAGGATTGTGTCCAAAGTTACTTGCACAATTTCATAAAAAGATAGTGTGCAAGCCAGCTCTAATTCTACCCCTTTTTCTTTATTCATTGATGTACACCCCACCTTTCTACCAAAATATGGCGCTCAAGGTGATTAACCTGGTTTGTACAACACAGGGTGGATTGTTACCCACCTTTGTATGTGCCAATTGTGTGCTGCCCAGTTTCTTAATGGCTCTACCAATCCATCTTTTAAAAGCCACACAGAACCTACAAAACATTGTACTGTTACTGGGGGGTTTGTTAACCTTCCCACCCAGCCACTCATTTTGGTGGGTCTGCAAGTCACAACAAACCATGCCAGGTGGAGAAACTGGACCAGATGTGCCTGGATTGTGTGGGTGTGCTTGTGGGGCTGAACCTTAGGGCTAGAGCCCCTGCTTTGCATGTAGGTCCCAATTCCCTGCCATTTCCAGGTAGGGGTAAAAACCTCACTGAAACCCTGGGCAGCCACTGTCAATCAGTGCCAACAATAATGGGCTAGCTGAACCCAGGATCTGCCTGAGCATAAGGCAGCTACCAAAATTCCTAGGATCCTGGCTGTGTTTGCAGCTCCTTCTCTCCTCCATCTGAACAAGCCAGCAGACAAACTAGGAAGTGGTTGGCTTAATATCTTGGCTTGTTTCAATGTTGTGGACCATAGTTGACCAGTCTGGACAAAATGAGAAGCTTCTATTTCTGTTTGTTCCCCAGTTTGCTCAAGAGGAAGAGTGAAAGGGTTGTGTGTACAGTCCTCAAGTTTCATTCCTGTTTCAGCTTAAGCCAAAATTTGATGGTCCAAGCAGAGCTGTTGTGTCTGACAAGAGGAGCAACATAAATACCACACTTGTTAAGTCAATTGGGAGTAAATGGCCTCTCTCTCTCTCTCTCTCTCAATTGCTGTCTGTAATTAGGTCATTCTCTTCTATCTAAAAATGTCAGAGTTGGTGTCCATGGAGAGTGAATCATTCCCATTTCAATTTAGGCAGAAAATGTCACCTAAAGCATCTGGGTGGAAAATATAAACAAAGTATAAGCCAAACTTTTTGAGATGCTTTGGTTTGGGACTGCAGAGAATGCAATCAGTTTTACTGAGCCCGAGCTGCCCTGCTCAAATCTTGTTTATATCAGTCTTTATTTTCAGAAACAAACTGTAATATAGAGGGCCTAGTCATGTGAATGGTGAATCATTTAAATTGTCTTCTTCCCTCTAACTCAGGAGGTGCTGGACACCCTTCAGTCTGAGGACCATCTTATAGGGTCTCCCAGGGCAGGGCAGGGCTAAAGGAAAGGGGCCAAAAGTACTGACATATTTCAGCTTAAAGCTCTTACTGCCAGTAACTAAGCCTGAAGAAACTTTCCAGAATGAAAAGACCTGCACAAAAGGGAAGAAGCCACCAAACATTCTGCGGGCAGAGGAAAGGGAACATAGTCATTTGGGGACTATTGTGTGTGTGTGTGGGTGGAGGGGGGAGGCACATCAGGAGCCCAAGGAGATCAGATTTGTCCCTACTCCAAGATTCTGTGCCACTGGTCTAATGCTGTAGCCCTTGCGGTCATTCCACAATGGTTTGGACTAGCTCTAGTTTTCCAGTAGTGAAAGAAAATGGCTTTACACCTGCCCCAAGGCACTCTTTGCTGTCTTTCCTGCTAAGATCCAGGGATGATCTCGTGCACTGAAAAGCAGATTTTAAACTAAAACCTGGTGGGCCCTGGCTCAAAGTAAGCACTGGCCAACCACGGCAGCATTTGAGCTACTAAGCTCCTAACCCCACTTGTGTGTAGAGATGCTGAAGGATCTATGGAGATCCAAGCATCTGGGACAAGCCCAGTCTAATAGTAGAGCAAAAACAGTGTCCACAACACCAGCTGCATTTCTCAGGCCTGGCAAAAGGGGAATGTGGGGTGGGGAGGGGAGCTGGTGGGAGCAGGGCATGCAGCCTGAGATGTTTGCGCTACTCAGGTTCACTTTGTGTAGTGTGCCAGTCAGGAGAAAAGCAGTGCATGAGTTTCGCATCTGCTAGTTTGGGCTGATGCTGCTTCCTTCCTTCCCTGAGCTTCAGGATCAGTAGAAAGCCATCTGTTAGCAGACCTGGAAAGAGCACTCAAAGGCATAACTATTTTGGGAGATATTTTGACTTTGGCTTGGCATGTTCTGCTGTAGTAGGAAGCAGGCTTTGAAAAAGAGTGACTGTGACGTTCGTTCTGTCAATCTCTCTTTTGTCTCCTTATATTGGCTAGGAAACAGAGCCCAGCTGCACTAAGTTTTCCAGGCACAGGGGCACCTAGAAGAATGTGGAAAGGGCTGTTCTCTGAAGATAGAAGAAACAAGTTCAAGACCTTGCAATGGAATGGCAGACACAAAGCCAATTGGGATTAATTAGGTGTGGTGAAAACATGCTTTGTAACCTGACCTAAGGCAACATTCCTCAGCTGGAGCCTGCAGATGTGTAGGCTGGAAGGATCATAGGAATTGTAGTTCAGTGCATCTGTAGGATCCTAGGTTGAGAAATGCTGGTCTAAGGGTGTCTCCTAAAAATGTTCTTATAAGAATAGTCCCAAGGACGGGTTTGCTAGAATGATTTCTTTTTGTTTTGCCGGCTGCGCTTTTGATACTTTAAAGACATGATAATAGAGGCTACAGCACACAGGGCTTCCAGTAAAAGCTAAGGCTGTCACTGAAACAGGCAGACATTTCCCTGCAATGTGTACTGTAAGGATACACACTTCCCTGTTAGTGGCAGCCAATTACAGGGGAGTGGAGACAGCAAATGAACACATTTCTTCCATTTTCCATCCACTTTAGCAACATAGGAAGCTGCCTTTTCTTGATCCGGAGGATAGTCTGTCTAGTTCAGTACTGTGGCTCTCCAGCAATCCAGGCAGGAATATTTCTATCCCTACCTGGGGAGAAAAAAAATCTGGGGGAACTTCTACATGCAAAGCATGTGATCTAGCACTGAGCCAGCTCATGTTTTAAACCAAGTCAACACTTGCTTATGGATGGGAAGAATCATCAGCACAGACATAGAGCCAACTTCACCGTGCCCATGAAATGGCAGCCACCTAATAAAGTCCATCCCCAGGCATTTCTAATGCAAGCTTGCTAAGCCACAAAGTTGCTATGCAGTGACCATCATTCAGGTGCCACGCTAGGCTCAGTTACGCCACTCTTGCTGCCATGCTGCTCATACAGATGTTTCCTGAGGGTTCACATCTGCCCTGCGGCTCTAGCAGACCTGGGACTTGGTTCTTTTAATTGGATCCAGTACAGTAAGTGCAAATAATTACTTTCCAGCTGCATACACCTCTGCCGTGTCAAACAGGTTTACTCCACTCTCATACGCAATCGTCATTAGCTGCTCAGCAACCTTTGGGGAAAAAGACATGATATCAGTCTAGAGAATTTGAAATTTCTCCAATCACCCCCTTCCACGTTTCTCTGCAAGTGACTTACAATAAAATAGGTTAAGAATCAGGCTTAATTTTTAAACCAGGGAGAGCAGACAAGGAATGTGGAAGCCCCAGAAAGAAGAGTGATTTAAGTTAATTCAACACCATTTTTTGACTACCGGTGTGCACAATAGCAATGGTGATCAATTTGTCCAGTGGCCACACATATTTCTACAGCAGGTGAACTGGGATGGAGCGGGATGCGGAAGCTCTGCCCCTGAGGCTAATCCAGCCAGGGGAGGCCCTGGCTTCAACCCACAATCCCTGGAAGGTTCCTCCAGAGCATGGGGCTTATCCTGCACATCCCAGCTTGAAGAAATCCCCACTGCTATCTCCACACTCAGATGGGGGAGAGGATGCAGGAGGCCAGCCAGGTGGGTTATTGTGGGGCATGCCACCCTCATGGGCTGGCACACTGCACAACCCAGAGACCTGGCCAGGACCGGGGGAAATGGGGACCGTGGCCCTTCCTGCAGCTCAGTATGAGGAAATAGGTGAGAATGTAGCATGAGGATCCCTTTTTCTATAGCAGCCCCTCCTGAGGACTTTTTAAAAATCCTGTTTGGAAATAAAAACAATATCCTAACTTAGGAGGCCTGAAGGTCCAGCAGATGGTATTTTGAGACTCATAACCCTGGCTCTTAGTTTATTTTATGCTTCTGTGAATATGCCATGCAAGCAGAAACATATTCAAAAGCAAAAGGCAGCACCGTGAGAATGTCAGCTTTCTCCTAAAAATAGAACACTGATTTATAGCCCTTCTGGCTGCAAAAGGAGCTAGAAACACTTGATGAGATTTTAAAAACTAGAGCAGGGAACTAAGTAGGCCTTCCAACCAGGGAGGCCACTAATACATTACCAAAGAAGAGGAAATGAATCACCAAGAAGGAGGACAAAAGAGGAGAGCAATTTACATATGCAAAAGTACAGGTGGAGATGCCAATTTAGAATTCATAGCAGAAATCTAATCCATTTTGCCAAAGAAGGAGAGACTGACTAGGTGGCGTGTGTGCCATCTGCTGTTGTCCAGGGACTCAGTGCTGCCCACTTCCTCCTGTTCGCCCATTCTTTTGCTGATTGATCTGTAACCCAGATGGCTCGGACAGCCCATCAAAGAAAGAACACACAGACGAGGGTCATCTGCCTTCTCTCCAAAATGAGGACTGTCTCCTATAAAGTAGAGCACCCAACCACCCTACTTTCAACATTCTGTGGTGGCATTTCCATCATGGTCCTTGTTCTTCTTCATGGCTAAGAGAAGCAGTATGAATACATGCATGTTTGGATAATGCAGAACCAGCGTTTTGTTGGAGTGTTGCATGTTTACTCAGAAGCAAGTCCCACTGAATTCAATTATGCAAATATCTGTGAGGCAGCCATATGACCTTTGCTTGGCCTGTGGACTGACATAGGATCTTTCCAGGCCAACAGTTCTCAGTGGCACCAGTCCAATGACCATTCTGCAGTTATTCCAGCTCTCTGTCTTCAATACTTTTTCTGGGATAAGAAAAATGATGGAAGAAGCAGTGGGAAAATATGGGAAGGTGAGAAATAGAAGACAAGGATGTATGGAAAATTCGGTGGGTGAGACAGGGCAATTGCACCATCTAGTCTTGTCTGGCAGCAGTCTCAGCATAGAGAGAAAATGCAGAAGGAAGAGGGAGGGCAGAAAGCCGCAGCAGGTTTTCCCTGCAAGGCATAGCTAGCAGCTACAACTTGTTTTTGTCAGTTTTTACTCTGATCTGGTCCAGATTGTACGCAAGATTGTGGGTTGGGGGAAATGAAAGGAAGGTGGTTTTAACCCTTCTGTGGGGCAGTCTGGCTTGGCGGCCTCTTCCCTGCAAAACAGCCCATCTGTGTCTTGGAGCACCGTTGGACAGCAGAAATGCCTGGTTCTCCCACCCGATCCAAGCTGGGTCCATAGCTGGAAGGAGGCAGAGTTCAAGCTCCTTCCTTCTTGCATGATGCTCCCAGGCTCCCTAACCATGTATAGGAATGAGTGCAGATAATCAAGTTGTTTCTGCTAGCTACAGTTTTACAGTAATGTCTGCTTTGGCCTTTGGTTCTCCATGGTTATGTGCAGTTGGAGCATTTCTATAGGAAATTGTTGCTAATTGCTGTATCTGCTCTCGGTTTCATCACAGAACTGAGTGCTGAGCTCTACGAGAAAAGCTTTTTTCTTCCTAGGTGATGTTGTGCTGTAGAGCAGAATCTGAATGATACAAGCAGGAAAATGGCTTTGCTTTTGGAAATAATGCTCCATCCCCCCCCTCACCCCCCCCAAAGCACTGTTAAAAATGGAAGTGAAACTGCAAGATCATAATGCCATCGAAGAAATGATGAAAAAACAAAAAATGCTTCAGGTAGAAAAGCTCTCAAGTGCAAACCAAGCCTGGTGAAAATGATAAAAGTTCTAACCAGAGTGGGTGTAAACTACTGCTGATCAGTAATGATTGAAAAAGCAAAAAGAGTACACCTCTCAAAAGCCCCAGTCAGCATGCCCAATGGTCAGGGATTACGCTATTTGTAGTCCGTCTGAAAGGCTTCCTTTCCCTTGGGCAGATGAACTCCTAACACACAGTCAGAGGCAGTGTGGTGTAGTGGTTAAGAGCATGGGCCTTGGGTTTGGGACTCAGGTGATCTGGGTTCTAGTCCCTGCTCAGCCATGGAGCCAAATAGGGGTGCTTTGGGTCAGTCACAGACTCTCAGCCCAGCCTACCTCTCAGGGTTGTTGTTGTTGTGGGGATAAGATTGAGTACAGGAGGAGGAGAATGATTGAAGCTGCTTGGAGTTCTTTAAAAGAAAAAAGGTGAGATAAAAATGTAATAACTACATAAGAGCTATTCCTTCCTATAGCCACTCTTGGATGACCCACTGAAGACAGCTATCTTTCTTTGCTCCAATCTTTAGTTGATCTCGCTCTTCGAGCAACAGGGGATAATATTTCATACCTGATCAAGACCATGTTTACACTTCATGATAAAATGTTGTTCATTGGCAGCAGCAAGTCTCAGGAATGCACACTCCTACTCAGCCAGGACTTCAGAAGCTTCGCTTCCATGTTTAGTTCAGCCATTTCATCCGAACTGGACATTGTTATGACCTCACAACAAACCCTTGGTTCACACATCATGCTCAGCCATCTACAAAGGAGCCCATTGTGGCTTGCTGAATAAAAGTGGGAGAGATGAGGGTGCCACAGGCAGCGTGTCCCCTCAGTCCCACTCGCGCACAACCACCCATGGCTCGTTGCTACATATAAACCAGGTCTTTAAACAAGCCAGCTTCAAAGTCAATGGTTGCCGGTTTGGCTAAATCAGGACGTTTAATAAAAGCCATAGCAAGAGTTTCCAGAGTCCTTCTCCCAGCCATGTGGGTCGAGAAACAGGACACACCAGCCTGAGTCTCAGTGCAGTGCGTGCACATCAGAACAAAACATGCTTTATCATGATGCATGCATGCAGGCAGACGGACGGACGGACGGACAGAACAGTCTAGTCCAGGGCACAAAGAGGATTTCCAGAAATTTTGAATTTCAACCCACAGCATTCGTGACCATTGACAGTGACTTCTGGGAGTTGTATTCCAAACATCTGGAGACCTATCTCTGCCCACCTCTGCCCTAGTCCATGAAAGCTTCTGTCAAAACATGTACCTCAGTCTTTCAGGTGACACAGGAACCTTCACTGTTTTTGCAGACTTCAGTGGGACTCACCGCCTAAGACTGCAACCGAGCATTGCAGAGATATCATATGCGTTCAGAAGTGCGTCCCAGTGAATTCAGTGAGGCTTTCTCCCAATTAAGTGTGGCCAGCACTGCAGCCTTAGAGTAAGGATGCTGGAGAAACCTGCAATGGGTTCAAAAGAGGACAGATTTCTATAAAACCAAGCTGTGGGTTCTGCAGTGAACCAGCTTTTTCCAAATCAAATGGCTTCTACAGACGGGTGTTTTACTTTTGGGGAGTTTTGTGCTAATTAGCTCACATGAATTAGCACTAGTGTTGATTAGAACACACACACACACACACACACACACACACGAGAAAATTCTGGCAAAGCCAAGTTCTGATTCCATCCATGGGTAGGTGATGCAATGGAAGACACTGTCAATCCACAGAACACAGAGCATCCCCGCCTAAGGGCAGCGTGCAGCCCTGCTGCTTTGCTTCTGCTCCTTTCCTTACACGCACAGGAACCACTGCGGCAGCAATGGGAAGTTAGCACTTCCTAAAGAAGCCCCAGAAACGAGAAAGAAATCTTTGTCTCAGTCCGAGGAGCACCCTTCTTTGAGCTCTGCTGCCCTTTTGCTTGCATCAACAAATATTTCCACTCATTCCCAGTTGGCTTCAGACCTGCTAGCTCCCCGGTGCAGTAACAGTGGGTCCCACTGGTGCATGACAATATTGCATTTGACACAAGATCCCTACCGCCAGCTTTTCTTAGTGAAAAGTATGGTTGCTTTTCTATGGAATTTTTGTCAAGGTGTGCTTGAAAAGGAGTGGGAGGGATATACAAGGGCTGAATCTCAAAAGCCTCATGATTGCAGCATTCCCATTTGCTTCAATGTAAATTACTCATATTCCAATAACGAAAGCATGGATTTATTTTTGTTTTCTTCTCTTTTTTGGTGCAGATTCTCCAGGCTGCCTAAAGGTTTTGTTTATGCTCTGCATATCGTTTGGCTTTGAGCAAGGGATGCAAGATGAAATATACCTTTTGATCATAAGATCCTTAGAACAAAAAGTGAATTTTGCTTTCTACAGTGAACCAAAAATAGTTCTTCGTATATGCTGTAGCTATTGTCACAGTTCCTCTGGTAAATAGCCAGCTATTTCTGATGACCTACACATCTGAAAAGCAAACCATTAGTGGTCATTACAAATGTCAGGGGCAGTTGTGATTCATTTTGCAGGTGAAC